CTCATCTATTTCATAGCAAATTCAGCAAAGGTGAAACTATATACTTGGACAGTAATGTAGGAAGAATCAATCGGTTTGCACTAAACGACAAAGATAAACCTGCAACGGAAAAGGTTATACCTGATTTATCTATGCTTCCTATGTATGGATATATGAAACAAATTAACTTTATATCAAACAAAATCCCTTTGTACTGTACAAATCTGTTTTGGGAGTTTAGTTAATTTGGTTTGAATGTTGACAATAGACTGTTTTTATATTTACTTGAATTGATATGGCTGTTGCATCGTTACCCGTGTTGCTCATGTGTTAGTTGCGTATACTAATGAGATCAAATTATTCATGTCTGCGCGTCCAAAATCGTCAATTAAAATGTTCAGTTTAAATAAAGCTTAATTTAAAAAAAAAATTTAATATAACATTTCCGGTTCCTTTTCTTTCTTTCTTTCTTTCTTTCTTTCTTTCTTTCTTTAAGAAAATAATGCTGCGCCATGTGTTCATAGCTATGATTACAGACAAATTACAATAAACGACAATTATTCTTTAAAGTTTATAGGCTAGTTCTATATATTAATTTACGATCTTGAAACACATTTGTATGTTTGTTTGTCATGTATTAAAATTATAAAAGAATGTATATTAACTGTTTTCTCATTTAGTTTTATGATATTTTAACCAATAACCTGCTGGAACCGCATGTAATAAACCGCTGCTTTTCCATTAAGTCTGACCAGGCTCTTTAAAATTGGTAGATCAATTTTGTTCTGGATATTTAATTAAAAGTGTCTTATCTGTGATATGCAGGCTTCATAAACTCTAATCCCCTTTAAAAATTCCATTTTATTTAGTTCCGCACATTGTTTTCTTGTTTAGGGCACACGCATTCTTTTACTTGGGGACCATACGCCGCTTTTCATGGAATGCCACAGAAATGTCACGTTGAATGTTCCACGATAACCGCTGTATGAACACATCTGCGGATGTTTCTAAATTCAAAATTTCACCATTGCCATGAATTAATGTTGGATATTGTTTAAGCTGGTGCTGGGGGGCGTGGATGGCAGTTTGCACTTTACAGTACCGTCCATGAACAGGCTCAATCAAACCGAGCCTGCAACATTTTCAATTTTGCCGTTTTGGACTTTCTTTAGGGAATCTTATTTTCTAAATTTGAATGCACTATTCTGAATTAAAAATAAGGACAAATCCACTATGTAATTTCATCCCTGAACGTCAATCTTAAAAAAAATTAAATCAAATATTGAATAAAAAACCTTATTTTTGCATAGACGATACATATATAAACAAGGTTCAAACATTTTTGAAATATTAATTTTTGAAAAATTATTCAAAGCCAACAGTATATCATATAGATATCTGGGTGTCTTTGTTTAGCCCTCTTATTCAATAAAAAATACTTTTTACGTCTGTCAAACAATGTATTTGAGAACGTTTTACTTTAACATTTAGTCTAAAATATACAGTTATATAATAATTTGTTTGTTATAACCAAAATAACAATAAAATCTCAAATATTTCAGAACTCTAGTCTTCTTCGACTTTATATTAAATGACAAAATGACATTGTTATAATGACATTGTTATTTCTAAAAAAAGTTTAAAATATGAAAATAAATATTAAAAAGGAAGAGAACATTTACGAAAAGCAGATCCCACCTGGACCTAAATGGGCACCAAAAGGGACAGAGGCAGACAAACGGGTAGAGTTGCTAATAATTAACAAAAAGGGAGGTTAAGTTGAATAAAATGTGTAGTAGCTTGTAGGAAAAAAGGATGTAGGGAAATAAGGAAGAAGTGTAGAGGGAAATATGGAAATAGATGAATGACTTACCGACACACTATTACTAAACACATGAATATGACATATTAAGGAGAAATAGGTGCGGCATCGCCTTAGAACGGTCGATAGCAAAAGCATGCACTACTTGGAAGTTTAAACCGATTAAAGGTGTACCAAACCATACTCTTAGCCCCAACATGTTCCTCAGTGTAAATAAAACGATTCCCCGCCAAATGAAATTCAAAAAAAAATTGTTATCATATAGCCCCAACATGTTCCTCAGTGTAAATAAAACGATTCCCCGCCAAATGAAATTCAAAAAAAATTGTCATGATAACAGAAGGTGATATAAATATAGAACACATAAATGATCAAATAGATAGGTACTCGTGACCGTAAAGGATTCAATGTCTTTAAAGAAGGCAGAGTAATACGAAATCATTTACACTCTACGTAATTTACATTCTTACTGAATAAGTAATCTTATCAACACATGTACCTATTTACAAATAAGCCATGATAAGAAAACAATAGAGAAGGCTATTCTTATAACAACATGCAATAATATAAATAAAGGTCAATAATATAATTCAATACAGACAATTATATACATTAAACTACAAACTGCATGGTTCATGTACATGTCTGTATTCCGGTTAAAACATTTCACACACAAGCTTAACGAGCTTAAAATATTTAAAAGAATTTCCTGCGTTTCTTGAGGTAAGCCAAGCAAAACAATACTCTTACCGGACGGATTAGAAACAAGATTTTTTAATTACAGCTGCCCATATTTTCTTACGAGTGTCTAAATTCTAGGGGCAGTAGCATATTTCATGAAGAACAAAGTCTTCATATAAACAATTATATTTTTCAGATTTCCACAAAGCGCGATTTGCGAAGGGAGAGTAAACACATACCCCATAATGTGTATGGATTATCCCCCATTTGTAATACTGTGTTAACACTTGAAACAGCTCTGCAAATGCACTTTCCTTCTTTGGTTAGATAACATATTCATGTTATAATCGTGCCCATGACAATTTAATGGACCAATACCGCCTGTAACATATGAATACATAATTTCCCTGTTGTACTTTTCTATTATCACATACACAATCAAACTGACTCTGCAATTTTCATGTATTTTTTTGTTTTCCTTGCTTAACAGAAATCACCCTTCTCCAGATTTTTACCACTCTAATATCTTACTTAACTTTTATTTATTTCATACTGGATTCGTTTTGGTTTGGCATCCTCAAGTTGTTTAATATATATAGAACAAACACAAAGTTGCTAGTTTCAACCTTTAACATGGTGAGATTGTTTTGCACATTGTCTTGAGATAAACATTTAACTCAAGTAATATGAATTAAAATGCTTAAATGGATTCAAAAGATGCACACATTGAATTACTAACAGACAGCCGGACAACAAGATCATATAACATATAATAATCCTTTCAGGCATATAAAATATAAAATGGAAGAGTGATTCTCTGTTCACAAGAAAGTTTCTAAGAAAAAAAGCACATTTTTGTTATTTTTACTAATTTTACTTCTTAATAAGCAATATTCCAAAAATGCATAAAAAACTCATATAAAACAATTAGAAAATCACAACACTTTACAAATAAGTAGGTCAACTTGATATAAAAAAAAACAGTAATTAAATTAAGGACCTTAATTAAATATCTGAATAAGTAACATAGTGGACGTACATGTATGTATAAAATTGTAGTCTGAGAAACAGACATTTATGTCCATAACAACAAACAAGAGGGCCATGATGGCCCTGAGGTCGCTCACCTGTATATAGCCCCCGTCCCCCGCCCCCCGGCCCAATTTTTACCCAAGGGCTTTTATTTGTTTATTTGAACAGACTTGGTAGACACCCATAAGAAGATGTTTCATGCAAAACATCTAAGTTCTAGCTCATTGGGTTTTTTAAAAGAAGATTTTTTATGTTTTCACTATACACATATAGTTAAAAACAATGACATCCCACGGGCAGGGCCAGTTTTGACCCCCGGGCTTTTATTTGAACAAACTTTGTAGATATTTACTTAAAGATGTTTCATGCTTAATATCTAAACTCTAGCTATTTGGGTTTTTTCAAAGAAGATTTTTAAGTTTTTGCTATGCATATAGGGAAAATCAATGACCCCCTGGGGCGGGGCCAATTTTGACCCAAGGGCTTTTATTTGAACAAACTTGGTAGACATTCACTAGAAGATGTTTCATGCCAAATATCTAAGCTCTAGCTCTTACAGTTCTTTAAAAGAAGATTTTTTAAGTTTTTACTATATGCATATAGGGAAAATCAATGACCCCCCGGGGCGGGGCCAATTTTGACCCCAGGGCTTTTATTTGAACAAACTTGGTAGACACTCACTAGAAGATGTTTTATGCCAAATATCTTAGCTCTAGCTCTTACAGTTCTTTAAAAGAAGATTTTATAAGTTTTTACTATATGTATATAGGAAAAATCAATGACCCCCTGGGGCGGGGCCAATTTTGACCCCAGGGCTTTTATTTGAACAAACTTGGTAGACATTCACTAGAAGATGTTTCATGCCAAATATCTAAGCTCTAGCTCTTACAGTTCTTTAAAAGAAGATTTTTTAAGTTTTTACTATATGCATATAGGGAAAATCAATGACCCCCCGGGGCGGGGCCAATTTTGACCCCAGGGCTTTTATTTGAACAAACTTGGTAGACATTCACTAGAAGATGTTCCATGCCAAATATCTTAGCTCTAGCTCTTACAGTTCTTTAAAAGAAGATTTTTTAAGTTTTTACTATATGCATATAGGGAAAATCTATGACCCCCGGGGCGGGGCCAATTTTGACCCCAGGGCTTTTATTTGAACAAACTTGGTAGACACTCATTAGAAGATGTTTCATGCCAAATATCTAAGCTCTAGCTCTTAGGGTTGTTTAAAAGAAGATATTTAAAGATTTTTCTTTCGGTTGCCATGGCAACCAGAGTTCTGCATGGAATTAAATTCTTTGAACAATTTTTAAAGGTGACCACCAAAGGAACATTCCTGTGAAGTTTGGATGAAATTGGCTCAGTGGTTTATGAGGAGATGTCATTTAAAGCAAAAGTTTACGGACGGATGACGGACGGACGGACGCCGGACGAAAAGCGATCACAAAAGCTCACCCTGTCACTTTGTGATCGGTGAGCTAAAAACTCTAGTGAAAAAATAAGCATCTATTTCTGTGACCATAAACAAGTAAACAATGGATTCCATGAATCACCATTTTGATTGGCTGAAACATAAGCTGAGAAAGCCAAACTATCCTTTATATACCTGAGAAAACCTAACAGCGAACATGAGAGCAAATCAACAAAAAAATCTGAATTTATTACATTAAGAAATGTCTTAGATATGAGCTTAAGAACATTCTTCATCTCTTAACATGTATGTATTTTTAATTTATGAACATGTCTTGCTTTGAACTTGGACCTGTTCATTCAAAATGGCAAAAAATAATCTTTTTCCAGCTGGAACCTACAGTGACTTGCCATTGCCACCAGTATACAGCAAGGTCATCTGACCCGGTTTTACTGTTGATAGCTCATTTTTTTGTGTTTTAATACTGACATCCGGGATGATCCTTAAACCTTTAATGGACTGGTCAAAGTTAAAATTCAAAGCATTCATAAATTCAGCAGGTAATGGGTTAAGAAACCAACAGTGTAGAACCTGGCTCTATACTGGTGGCATACCAGTGAGCAAGAATTCTTTACTGTATGCATCCCAAGAGATAAATAAATTGTGCAATTATAAACAAATCTTGTTCATGAGCATAGAAATATGATAAAAGCAAATATTCCTATTCTAACTTTAACACTTTAATCAAAGTCCTTTCAGATTATACTTAAACAAGTCTGCCATAATTTGTTCATCAAAAGTTGTAGTTCCTACTTCTACGTATTTTCCCACCACCATGTCAATTTTTGTCAACATGTGAAAATTGAATCATGGACACCTTGTACATGTATCTGTATCATGCACACCTGAGAAACATTTTGTTGATAATTTAGATACATGTACTTTTAAAATTCATTTAAGAAAGATCTCCTAATTACAATAACTATATAGATTCATTTCACACATAACAAAGAATTTAAATAAAATCATAACATGAATACAAATATATCTAAAGATGGAAGACACAATTCTGGGTATTTCACTGCTTTAATTAAAGTGATTTCTTGATTAAACAATCTCAGACTTCTTCAGAAAAATAAAAATAAATTCCCTGCCCACTTCTTAGAAATAAAGCAATGCCAAATTTAAAATCATAGCACCAGCATTGCCAAATATCTCAAGCCATTTCCATAATACATGAACCTTTCTGTATTACACCAGTCTAGTGTAATCCTGCAGCCACCCTGAGAAATATGGGGTCAATTTGGTGGTTTTGTTATGACACAAAAGGTTTAACATTTAAATGGGTATTTTACCATCACCAACCCCACCCACATTCCCCCCACTCGCACAGTAGGGTTGGTCATGAAAAAGTTAAAGTCCCTGCCATCCCCCAAGGGGTTGACGGGCAGGACAGGAGCCTGGATTACAACTGACTGGTGCATAAAGCTATATAATCACTCTTTGAAGAAACACTCAAAGGAGTTTTCATCACAATCATCATATGTTTTCATAAGTGGATTGTCCAAGTCCCCTCTATTATTATGTTTAACATTGTTATCAGATCCTGATGGTGGCCCAAAGTCCTTCACACATGCACAACGTGGTTCTGTTTTACCAGGTTGAAAATAACGTCTAGGTACACCTGCCCAGTCTCTATTAACTCCTCCACTGAAAATTAAAAACAAAATGTTCATCAAATCATGAAATAATTTAATCAAAGCTAAATGTAGAGTATTAAATAAGCATATGTTCAACACTAATCTCTCTGGCGTGGGTTCAATCCCCGGGAGATGCTTTGGTAGTTTAGCGCGGAGGAAGGTTGTCTAGTACTGGTGTTACACTCCAGGAACGATGGTTAGGAAACTACCCGCCTATATGACTAAAATACTGTTGGGAAAAGGCGTAAAATGAAACAAACAAACAAAATTGAACAAGTTGAATAAAATTATGTTATGGAGCCTCTGACGAGTGTTCAATGAATTTATTGATGACTCTACTATTTATCATGTACTTAAAACAGAACAATTATTGACTTTAAACAATCATCTTTTTCATTGATGCACCTATAATGATTGTAATGCTAACATTTAGTGCTCTTTTACTTTATGTTTGTACAAAATTTAAAAGTGACATCACATCAAAATATATTCACGGCCATGCCAGACCATTTGTTCAGAGAAGTAAAAGCTGCATTGTAAAATTAAGTAAGAACTAAGACATTTTCACAATGCCCATCTAGCAATGAGCTATCTCATCATAATCATACTATTACTTATGTTTTTTGTTTTCATTTCTATATCCTGTGATAGAAAATTGAGGGACATAAAACAAGAGTCAATAATGTAATGCTTGAAGATTTTTATAGTGTCTAAGGGATCAATCAAGCATGCAAAGGGTTAAAGAAAACAAATAATTAAATTACCTCAATGTTGAACACCATGTCCTTCTACCCCACCCTTGTTTATATTCAAAGTTACAAGGTGGGAATATTTTCCTGTCATCTTCTTCTGACAACTTTGCTCTCTTTGCCTCTTGTAGTTTTTTGTTAAACTGTTTCAATGCCTCTGTTGCTTGACCTTTATCATTATAATAATGCCCAATTAAACGACCTATAAAAATGTCAAATAAATATGTCATTCACCAATATATTTTCGTCTAAAATAGAAATATTAATGACAAATTTCAGTTCTTGCAAATAACTGCATGAAATTGAATGTTTGGACAATGTTTTACACTAAAAGCTGTACATCTACATCTGTGTACATATACATTAATTGTAGTTGTTATTCAGTAATAGTAATAAGAGGTTAATACATGGCAAGAGTAGGGCCGGGAGGTGATAATCGGCCCGCAAAATGAATAATGGACCCGAGGGCCATTATTCATTCAGGGCCGATTATCACCTTCCGGCCCTACTCTGACGTGTATTAATGTCTTTAATACACTTGATTGATCTAATAGTAGCATTTAAAAAAAAAAAAAAAAAAAAAAAACAACAACAACAACAACAACAGATTTGAAGTTCTTTCGTTGAAATTCTTGTCTACTCTCTTCTACTTTTCTATACAGAGACGTTTTACTGTTTGTGTGTTCAAAGCAGTGGAATCTAGAAGCAAGTTTTATTTTCATTTTTTTTTTTTCGGAATGAATTTGTCGTATTATTTCTTCAAATTTCAATAGTAACAAAATTGTGTTTGTACTAAATACACTTAAGCTCTCATAACAGAAATAAAATGATTCGTGCTGACAACCTACTTTCAATTTTACAAATTAACTGTTTGATGACGTAAAATATGACGTCATTGTTTCAGTTTGTGCACGCGCACATGTTCTGCGGGCTGATAACTAGTTCTCGGGCCCCGGGCCGCAAACTCATAATAGGTCACGTGACACTCATAATCAGTTGAAATCATAGGCAATTTTGTTACTATATATAGTAACAAGTGTATTAATAACTGATTTATGAACACATTTCCTATATACAGTGTTTTGGGGGGGGGGGGGGGGGGCTCTTCTTTGGTTAAACAAAAATACTCATAGATTAGAAGGAATAGAAGGGAAATAATAAACTGAAAATATATAATAATTCTCATACTTCTTACAAATACTTATTAGATCTAATTAAGGTAGACCATGGGTAATGGGAACCAAAAGGAACTGTAAAATTGACAACATAGGACAGTTATATGTCTTCAAGGTCACCTGTATGCAAAATTTAAATAAAATTTACCGTGTGGTTTATGAGTTATGGATATATTTCTGAACTAAGACTTTGCCATTAGAAGGGCTTATTTTCAGAAATGAGGAAACTCTAAATAATCTGTAATATCATCATTATTAAAAATGTTTTTTATCGCCCATTGATAAGAAACAAATAATAACATTCAGGTAACAAATTACACGAGCAAAATGTTTGTTTCTAAACAAAATGTTCTTAATATGTATAAAAAATGTTACCCTACCCCACCCACTTAAACACTAATTTTACCATTTCCCTATCTAAAATGATTTATTCAAAATATCCCTAAATTTTACCATAATGAGGGGCTGTTTTCAAAGTTTGCCTAATTTTTCTTTAAGGTATATTGGTTGATCATGCAAACTATAAAAATACTTTTACCGTGTAGTTTTTATTTTATTAAATTTTGAAAATATATTCTGGTATCACATTTGGTATAAATTTTGCCATTATTTAGCAATTAAATACCTACAATAATTATATAATTTAAATCAAATCCTTTTTTTCTTCCATAAGGGATCAGAGAGATACATAAATAATGTTAAAAAGAAAAAAAAAGAAAGAAAAAAAAAGTTGCCCCTTCTGGGGTTTGAACCCACGCCCCTCAATGTCAATGTAGTTTGAAAGCGATTCTAGCCTATAAAAAGGAGGTAATGCATTACCCATGGTCTACCTTA